TGTGGCACTGTTTTGACAAATGTTGACCACCTTGGGTAAATATCATCTGCAAGGTAGTATGGTCCCTCGTATTTAGTACCATTAACCTAATATGTGCATCTCGGCCCACGCCCTTGTAGCAGTTCGTCAAACACTGGAGATTGGGCAAGGACATTTAGGTCATTCTGAGCTCCTGGAACACCAAAAAAAGCATGCCAAATCCATGTATCAAAAGAAGCCACCGCTTCCAGAATGATGCTTTTGGCTCCTTTTCTGTCGCCATAAGCTCCTTGCCACGCACTTGGACAGTTTTTCCATGTCCAGTGCATGCAGTCGATGCTTCCAATCATGCCAGGGAAGCCTCGCATCTCAGCCTTCCTCAGAAGCCTTCGCATGTCCATTGGCGTGGGTTGCCGAAGGTACTCATTGGTGTAGAGGGCTTCAATTGCAGAGCAAAACCGCATCAGGGACTCCAGAACTGTTGTTTTTCCCATCCTTGCGATCTCATCCACTTGATCTGCAGATGCTCCATATGCAAGCATTCGCAAGGCAGCCATAATTTTTTGCTCAGGAAGAAGACCTAGAACATGAAAAGCATCCTCTTTTTGCACAAAATATGGATCATGGTTGCAAACATCACTCATGATTTTAGCGAACAAACTTCGTTGCATTCTAAAACGACGTCTAAAAACATGATCAGGGTAAACGTTGTTGGGAATAAAATAATCTTCCAATAGATCTTTACCTCGTCTTTCCCTTCTTCTATCGATGTTTGCCGCACGTCCGGGTTTGGCTATCTGACCTATAACTTGCATGATACGGCGGGAATGTGAGGCCCTCCGCCTTCTATGGTGATCATCGTCATCCTCCTCCATTGCGAAGGCCTCATCTCCACCTCCACCTTGGTCAAGATTGACCAATTCTTCCTGTTGTGCCAACAACCTTTTCTGCTGCTCTTGCAACTGTTTATACGCTCTCCTTGAAGAAGACATTGTAAGAACTCAAGATTTGAAAATGATAAAGAAGAATTCTGAGCTAAAAAAAAGGATTGAGTTTAGTGTGAGGATGGATGTAGGGATGTAGGGTTTATATGGACAAAAAAAAAAGAAGATGAGGTTCAGGACAATGCCACGTGGCACTACGTGATTGGTTGAAAATCTTAGCGGAAATCTATTCAAAAAATAGTACGTTCGGATAATGACACATGGCGTGACGAGATTGGTTAAAAATCTTATCGAAATCTTGCCTAAATTATTGTAAACAGGAAGTGACACGTGGGTTGTCGGGATTGGTTGAAAATCTTAGCGGAAATCTATTCAAAAAATAGTACGTTCGGATAATGACACGTGGCGTGACGAGATTGGTTAAAAATCCTATCCGAAATTAAAACTATTTTTTTTATTATTTTATAAAAAAATTATTTAATATATTAAATGGACTGGGTGCCAGCGCATTTTGTAGGGGTGGAGATCGTTTGTGCAAGCGCATTTTTAGACTAGGTGCCAGCACATTTTTTTTTGGGATGGAGATGCTTTGGCCTATTACTGTTCATTGAGTCTGTTACTGTTCAATTAAGTGGATAAATGGGCTGGGTGCTGGCGCAAAGTGGATAGGGGTGGAGTTGCTCTCAAGCATTTTAAAAAGTGTTCCGAACGATCATTTAATAATACAAACAAATTAAAGAGAGATATTTAGTTAGTAAAGTCCATCATTCGTAAGCTTCGTTGTGCTGCGATCACAAATAACAATACTAGGTACAATGAAAAGTAATAATAACAGTGTTGTAAAAATCGGCTTAAACAGTGCTTAGGCGCTGGGCGGTGAGATGTCCCCAATTGGGTGCCAAACGGTGGACAAGATCGGGGAATTATTAAGCGCCCACCTGGGCGCTCCTAGGCATTCCTAGGCGGTGGTGCTAGGCGGTTCTCCCAGTCGCCTTCCACATCCGGTCGCACCAAATAATCGCAGATTCGTCGAGAAATATGACGAGAGAGAGAGAGAGAGTGAGAGAGAGAGAGAGGGGGGGAGAAGGAGAGAGGGAGAGATTGTGCTAAGAGGGATGGAGGTTGAAAGGGATTATCTGCTGTAGAGAAGGGGACAGTGCAGATGAGATTTGAGAGAAAAATGGGTTTTTTTATTATTATTAAAAGATTTTGACAATTTATTTTAACAATCATATCAGGCCCAACATCTTTTTTAAAGAATAAGGCCCAACAATAAGTAATAATTTAAATTTAATGGTCTTAACAATACTTAATGTCCATATTTTATGATAAATATTTATTTTTGTATGTTTTGCATTTTAATTTTTTTTTTTCAAATTTTATATACAAGCATGGTTTTTTAAGTGTAAACATTCACTTATTTATATATTATATAACAAATTTATTTAAAAAATACAAATTCACCTAGCCAGCCCAAATGCCTAGGCGCTAGGCTCCAGCTCATCACCTGACTAGCGTCTAGCGCCTATTGGAACCATAAATAATAATAAAAAGAATTAGTTTAACATCACATGATCAAGTTTCAGGAGTCTCAGGTGCCTTATAAAATTCCTTATATTATTGATGTTTACTACTACTCTACCCCATTCTATATATGGGCATGAAACAAAGTTAATACCAAATGCTTTGGGTTTAAGGCATAAGATAAAATCTACAAATACGCCTCTAGTTACTTTCAAGAAACATTTTAAAAGACGTTACCAAAATATCTTATATGTTATGTTATATGACATATATTTAATGGTTAGATTATGCTAAAAACTTAATATGCGAAAATTCTAGAGTAACCAATATACAACATATTCTTAACGGTTAGATATGTGTTAAAGAATTCTAGCATACATCTCCAAGACCAAAAATAAATTCTTGATGTTTTGTATATATCAAAACTAACTTGCTTAATTACTAATTAAGGTTTAGTTTGAAGACTAGAACTATAATATGCATTAAAGTGAAAATTTTCTCCTCTTTTTGTTTTATATTTTTTTGGACAAGATGCCGTCGCTAAAATTCGAGGAGGAAGGAGTTTCATGGATGTATATATATTGATGGTAACATTTGCTTTTATATCTTAGACTGTAGCATTGAGTACGTTTCAGAATATTTATTCGTATACATCCACACAGCCAGGCAATTCAATTTGTGGGGCACATGATCACCATGCATGTGTGTTCAAGAAATTCACGGTATTTTTATATGATGCACAAGGTGATACGGTTTGCACAATCAAAGGAAGTGTACCTTCGTAATAGTGAGTTGACATCCTTTATGGAACTCACTGTACAAGCTTAAGGGCCATTAAACTTGGACTTTTCAAGATAGAAAGAGGTTCAAGCCTTTGGTTTGTGTGCGGTGGACTATTAGATTGAGTTAATGAAAATCATTAGATTTAATTTGAGAGCTCTAAATTTGTTGGTCCTTGTCCTTCAAACAATGAGATCCGGAAAGAATCTCAATTCTATAATTCTGATGCACTGATGCTATTATTGTATTTATGCACTGATGCTATTATTGTATTTCTTTAATTTTACATCGTTGCTCTTGTTAGTTTTCTGATAAATCAAACGCACATTAGTAAAAGAAATCAATTTTGTATTTTTTTATATACACACACGCGGCAGCCATATTAACTTTCTAAATAATTAGTAAGCGTTACATACACAAATATTGGATGTTATACCTTGGAAGGGGGAATAGATGAACTTTTATCACAAGTATATGGGATAAGTATATGAATTGACTATACTATGAGAGATTTTTCATTCTCTCCAATCCCAACTCCTCTTTGTTGTTGTCTAGGCTAAAATTTAGGATCTCAAAACTCCTTGGAAACTTATACCCCTCACAAGTTTCACTTATTAAATTAGGTTTGTGATTCTTTTTCACTTATAATTAAAAAATTTCAAGTTCGACTAACATACATAATCAAAATGACGTATAATATTTATGTTGAATTCCATATTTAATTAATTATGACTTACTCATTATTTAGCTTCATCTATTTCACCCCAGTAATGAGGATCTAAGTATTATCGAATATACAAAGGCTTAAGAAATATGAAGATTGCTTTCGGTGGGATCCCTATAAATAAGAATACATGTGATGTTGTGGCATATTGTGGATAGCTCCATCCTGTTGTAAAGGGCTAGCAAATTGTCCTCTCATTTTAAGCTGTTGTGCACTAAACGAATCGGAGCCATATTAATAGAGAACCTTCAGTGACCTTCTTGTTTGTCTGCAAAACCATTAATTAATTCAATCCCTTAACATAATACATATATACGAGCTAAACTTTCTTGAAATAAATTTGGCTCCGCTGTTTATGAAGAGGGATAGATAGTGTCCTAGTATAAATGGTTCGTGTTCATGAATTAACTATATAGCACTCTTGCTACATGGTTAATACATGTTCACAAAACAATCGATACGAGGTTACTATCTTATATCACTCCATAAACATTAGAGCAGGATACTTTTTAATGATTGCATTTCAATGGTCCACTGTCAACATTACTGATATGGATCCTAACTTAACCACCTATTACTAAGTATTGGATTTTATCACAAAATGTCTCAATAGTATTAGAGATGAAAACCTTCATATCTTAATTATACATTTTTTTGTTACATGCCGATGTGGGATCCTATTTTCCAACACATACTAAATCTAAATGTGAGTGACTATAAATTTCTTAACAAGAAAATTGAAACATTTTAGTTTTCTTTGGAGAAGTATTTAGTTATGTCTAATAATATAAAAATATGTGTACATTTTTTTTGTCTACACCGTATTACTAGCACGAAACATCACAGTAGTGTTGTATCTGTACTCTTTCCTGCCCTAACTTTCTCACTCTCTCTTAATCAACTAATTCTCAGTAGAAGTTCGAACTGAAAGTAAATTTTGATATCAATAGACTAGAACAAAGTAATTCTCAGTAATTATTACTCTTGTTGTTAATTTCTGTGAAAGAAATAAAAAAAGTGGATGTAAACAAACGAAAAACAAATATAAATGCATCCATAAAGATACTAATTTATAACTATTCTCACATTTACACCATCAATCCCAATAACAAAAAAAAAAAAAAAAAAAAACATATACAACACTAGTTGAAAACTGTCTATTATTTATTTTTTGGAACTCGAAGTTGATGATCCCTCTTTCTGTCTTCCTTTCTCATGACCTTATTTATTTAAAGAGAAAAAATAAATAAATTATAAATAAACATTTTATAACTTGATGACTGACTATACCCCTCCTCTCAACTCTCAACACTCACCTTCACCATTTGCCTTTCTTTTTTAAATTTCTTCCCAATTTGTGTATATTTTTGCTTTGCATGTTACTCTTCTCCTAACACAAAATTCAGGACCCGCCACATTGTATTTGACCCACTTACCCGTCCGAAGGCCCTGCAAAATCTGACCTACTTTCTTTGAATCCATGTTCTATTGGCCTTTTTCTCAAGTTGTGGCTCACTCACTCAGCTGTTGCTGCACCCACTGGAGCTGGTTTGTTTGCCACTATCTCGTAATTCCCATCACCTTCATCATAATCCTCCTCCTCCTCTCCATCCTCCTCCTCGTCATCGTCATCACCGATATTGTTCTCCTTATCTTGCTGATCATGATGAAAGTCCCCTTGGTTCTGATGATGGTCAATACCCATCATTAGTCCCTGATGGTCTTGCTGCTGCGGTGACGGCGGCTGAGGTGGCCATTGCTGTTCCGGCCTCACCATCAAAGGCACCGAGTTCTCGGGCTTGAATTGGCTCGAAGAATTATTAGTACTAGTACTATTGACATTGTTCTGATCAAACTTGTTCCTCTCTCTATACAAACTATCCAGCAGGTTAAAGTAGGGACATGTCTTCGAATCCTCGGGCCTTTTCTTGTTGCTTTCCTTCACTTTCTTGAAGTACTTGTTAATGTTCTCCCACTTCTCCTTGCACCTTTTTGCGTTCCGGTTGTATCCGAGCTTCCTCATTGCTCCTGAGATTTCCTCCCAGAGTGGCCCTTTCGGTCCATTCTCTTGGTACTTAGAATCAAGGCTGGTTCTCAGCTTGATCAACGCTTGTACCTCCACTTTCGGCCATCTTGATGAGCTTGGCGGCATCATCAAATTATCGTTCTCCCCGTTGTTGTTTGATTTTGGAACAATGTCAATGTTCATCGCGGTCTGTTGTGGTTGTGCTTGTGGTGGTGGTGGTGCAGGCTTCCGCGGCGGAGGAGGCAGTGGCGCTGGTTGTAACCGCAGCAGCTGTGATTGGTTCGGCATGCTTTGGTGTTGGTTTTGATTTTGCTGCTGCTCAGATACCCTTTGCAAGAATGACATGAGCGCGGCATCTTTGGCTGCGGTGATTGATCTTTCTTGGGCTAGAATCTCGCGCTCTCTATTGATTCTTGTCATCTCTTGCATTCTCCAAGCTTCTTCCCTTACCATTCTTTCTTGTTCGCGTTTCTCGATTGTCTCCAAGAATCTCTTCTGGAGGTCCTCTTGCTTCTGGATCACATCCTTCATAAGTCTCTACGAAGAACTCCTTCCATTTTCTCTTCTTCTTGGCCCGCCCTTCCAACTCCTCATCGGAAGAGGTGGAGGAAGAGGTGGAATTGGAAATGATGTCGGTGGGTATGGCTGACAAAGACGTTGGGAATCCAGTGTGCTGCTGCTGCTGATGTTGGTTGGCATTGGTTGTAGGGTTTGCTGTTGTTGGTTGATGCGGCCGAGGTTGTGGCGGTGGTGGAAGAACTATAGGGTTTGTCTGCGGGAATGAACTGGGGAGTGTGAGGTTATTAAGTGTTGGTGTTGCAATGCCTTGAGAGGACACAGTAGTAATTGTAGGGTGCGGTGTAGCTGACGATGGAACAGTAGTACTAGTTGTAGTAGTACTACTATTAGGATGAAAAATTGTTGGAGGGTTAGCCATTGCCGTTGTTGTCACTGTTGCCGCGGCCGCCGCCATAGGCTGATGAGGCTTCCGTTGATGATGATGAGTAGTACTAGTACTGCCAGGGGTCGGAGGTTGATTTTCGAAGGCGTTTAACTGGTCGAAAAACCGATAAGTCTTGCCTTCAGACTTGCCGGTGCGGCCTTCTTTGGTTCTCCTGTGGTACTTGTAGACATTCTCAAACTTCTCCTTGCATTTCTTGGCGCTTCGATGATAGCCAAGCGCTGCAAGCTTCCTGAACGATATGAAAACAACAGTTGCACAAAAATCAAAACACAGACAAATTAATAATTAAATATATTAATTGTCTATCTTGAATTCAGCAACAAAAACAAAGCATTTCCACATAAAATTACAGTAGTACTATTCCACTGAGAAAAATTATGATCAATAAATATGTAAGAAATAATTAGCATCCAGCTAACGCTGGGAGGAATATATCAGATATATATACATGCATGTAAGAAAGACCAGAAAGAGATTCATTGATGAAAGACAGAAACCTTTTCTAGAAATTGTATGACCCAATTGGTGAAAGAATTTATTCCATTTGTTTTAAAATTTTCAATATTTTTTGAGGAATTTATTAATATTCCCATTGTTGACACTGTAATTTCTTCAGATGGACCAAGGAGAGGTAGAAATTAAAACCAAATGAAAAGACACAAAAAAATGAAAAAAAAAATAATTACCCAAAAGAGTAATTAAACAAAGTGAAGGATTTGAAATGGATCATAAGCAAACAAAAAATAAAATTAAAAAGATATATAGTACAAAGAAAACGAAAATTTCTATCAGTCCTCCTCAGATCTCAATTAAAATATATCGTAATTAAAATTAACCTGGAAACCTCTTCCCATAAAGGACCTTTAACACTTGCATCACGAAAGGCGACGTCCATGTCGGACCGTATTTGCAAGAGAGCTAAAGTCTCTTGGCGCGGCCACCGGTTGCCACCGAAGCTCCTCTCACCACCTCCTGAAAGTTCCTCATGACCACCTCTGAACGTTTCTTCACCTGAATTATTATTCGAGCCATCGCCGCCACCGCCTTCAGGAGCTGCCACAGCCACGGCCGCAGCATCGCGGCTGGTGGAGCTCCCTAACACACTAGTAGAGTCCCCCAGCATAGGACCAGCTGGTCTACTTCGCCTTTTTCTTCTCTTATTCCCCTCTGGCTACAACAAAACTAACAATTACGACTTACAGCAGATGGAACTTTACAACCAAAACATGTCACTCACGAAAGAGAGAGATGGTGAATTCTGTACAGAAGGGTTTTAAGAAGACGGGTGTAGGGTGAAGTTATTAATTTATTTCGGTGGGATCTGCTTCTCGATCTCAAGCAACATGTTTTTCTTTTCCCTTTTTTTTATTTTATATATATACATATATATCTTCTTCTTCTTCTTCTTCTTTTTTTTTTTTCTTTTTTGCTGTGGAATCTTTTGGTTTTATTTTTTTCTGTGTAGTTGGTAAAAAGAAACAAAACATTTTTGGATCATTTTCCTTATTTTTCAAATTTTGAAAAATACATTATTATATATATGACGTGTGGTGGAACCAGCATGGGAACATTAGTTGTATTAAATCCAACAACTTTAAAAACTCCATGTATATTTGTATGTATGGTATTTGACTCTTTAAACAGTTAGAGCAAACTAAATTACAACATTCTCTGCCTACTTCTTCTATTTTTTCCTATCATCCTTGTCTTCTCCTTCTCACTTCTTGTGTGTAACTTTATTGGGCGCACCAAATGCTCAATGAAATACTTCAGTTGACAAGTTTTGATAGTCTTCAACGTTACTCAACAGTTTCCTATAGCCACTCTTGACAAGCCTCTTCAGATCATAGTAATTGTTGACATATGTTGTCATAAGCCTTTGATAGATGGTGGCAATAATCGACAAGTTCCTATTAGCTGCTCCATAAAATGGTCCAATAAAGTTTTTTGGTCAAAATCATGACCAATTATTTGAAAATTATGGCTACACCATTGTATATGGCCTACCAAACAGATCGTGTCGTGTCAAATTCGTTAGCTTAAAGAGTTTTTAATAGGGGATCCAATAGCAGCGTGGTTCATTAATGGGTCGATTCATTTCGTGTCGAGTTAACGAATCGTGTAAGTAATTGACATGCCTAATGTCTAGGTCTAACAAACAATATCTTATTGCGTTCTTAACAAGTGACCTGGTAATGATCTAACTCGTTAATAGGCTCTTAATGAGTGATCTGATAATGACTCGACTTGTTAACGAATTCACTTGAAACTTATTATGTTCGTTTCAGTTCTTGTCAGGTTAACAAATCGTGTAAAAAATTATCAATCCTAATGTATATATACGTAGACAGAGATTATTCTTTCTTCGGTGGTAGCGTTACAACAAACATTTGTTAACAGCTGCGCAAAGAGACGATGATGAATAAGTTGGTTTTCGTCTGTCGAGCTAAATTTAGTTAAAAGCCGACCCATCTAGGTCAGCTTTTTTTCTCTTTCCTTTTTATTTTTATTGTTATCTTTATCTTTTCTTTCTTTCAAGGATATTTTTTAATTTTATATTTATTATATAATATTTTCGAGGCTCATCAGATCAGGGTCAGCAGCTTTGCTTTTTTGGGGGCTGTTTTTGGAGTTCAGTGGCCGTTGGCTACAATTTAGTTGAAATTACTATTTTACTCCCAACGTGTGTCCCATTGAGCTTTAATCATTGAAAGCTAATCTGATGACGTATTTTTTATTGGATCAGTACAATTGCAGATCTAGGTTTTGTTGAAATGTAATTCAGAGTTTTTGTACTTAATTAGGTAAATCTTGGATTTACCAAAACACCCTTGGTTTAGAAAATTTACAATGAGAAGAAAAAGCTACTAGTATGGTATTGTTGACCAGATATAAAACGAGCGAGATTAATGTGAGCAAGTGAATTTCCTCTGTGTTAAATATCCTTATGTACATTTTTTTTAAGAGTACTTATATACATTTTATGTAACTCGAGATCTGGTTTATACTAAATTAATAAAAATTATGGAGACGGATTTGAACTTGGTTGTAGAAGTAAGAGCATATTGTTCTAATCTTAGCTGAACTAACATTTTCATTTGTTTGACTTTCTTTTAAAAAAAATTTGGGAAAATTTTCTAAACTCTGTTTTATTATTTTATAACCATAATTAAAAGCATGTTATTAAAGAACAAATATATAAGCTAAGACTAGTAAAAGTTATAAATAAATAAAATTAAAATTTAATAGTTAAAAGTTCAAATTATTTATATTCCGGAGCTCTGTAAATTTATGCATATACTCCAATTCAAAAGGTAATAACATATAAGAAAAATGGCCTCAAATATTTTTCAACTTGTTGGGTGGAAGTATAACTGTAGAATATGTTGCCCAAGGGGCCTCTTGTGATTGTGACAATCAAAGTTTGACAAAATTTTATTCTCCCAATTGAGCAAAAAAATATTTTTCAATAATAATTTGTCATCTTAAACATAAATGTTAAAGAGATTCTTTCAAAAATGAGACTTTTCATACTCTTTGTAAACTCACATTTTTTGCACAATGTTTATAATATAGACACGAATATTGACATTAAACTGTGTGGTAACAGAAAATCCCGCTTTAAGAGAGCTCCCTTAGCATTTTTCTATCTTAAAAGAGACATTTTGGAGTGGGATCCACTGTTGGAATTAGTTGAATTAATCTTTCTTTGGTTAGATGTAGGTCATGTTATTAGGCGAAAGCCATTTATGAAGAAGAAGTAAATGGTGGCCAATTTTTCAGTTGGGTTATAGACCTACCATAATAAATTGTGTGGAAATTTCGACGGCCCTGATCTAATCATCACCGATGATGAAATTTTTGGGACCATCAGCTTGTAATTTATTTCCATGCTTTTCTAATTGTGTCATGATCAAAGAATTGTAGCCGTACATACACAATTTGTGCCACGACTGTGTATACTATTACTAACGTTACGTTTCACCTTCGTATTTTAAATTCCACTTAGAAATGGAATGTGACTTTTGCTTTTTGGCGATAAGGTTGTTGTGACTTGCAAGCTAGTTTTCTTATCTTTTGCATTTGGTGCGTCAAATATGTGTAATAATGGACATAGTATTAATAATATGGACCATTCATGTATTAAAATGTTATTATTCAATAAAATACTTAGCACATTATCAGGGATGGCGCCAATAAAGGACCAGAGTGGTTTTGAGGTCATTTTAACTACGATGTGAGAAATTTCTCTTTGGTCCCAAGCTTGCAATTGCTGTGAGACATGAGAAAAAAATATGGATTGTTTGTTGTGAAGAAGTTGAGTTGAACCACATCCTTGTTCTCAAAATCTAACAATTTTGTCCTCATATTCTAACAAATATGTTGTTTTTGTCTTTGTAGTTTAATAAAACAGTGAGTTTGTAGATAGGGTTTTATATTTTAAATTTTAATATTATTTCTAAGGCAATTTAATCATCTATTATTTGCAGGCCTCATAAATGCCCTCCTTCTACCAAACGATGCAAACCATAAAAAAATTTGGGGTGTGCTATCCACACACCCCATTTTACTTCTCATACACCCCTTGATAATTTTTGTCCGTTGATCTTCTTCAATTCATTCGATCCAATGGTCAAAAATTAAAAAAGTGTGTGAGAAGTAAAATGGGGTGTGTGGATATCACACCCTTTTTTTTTTTTTTTTTTTATGTTCTTACTATATTTTAAAAAATAAATTTAGTTGTTTTCCTGCTCTCTACCTCCCACTAAGTTGTGTTGCACAATTCTTTTGATTTTCTTTATTTAGATTTAATAGGTCTTTCACTTTTGTGAATATTGCTTTAATTCCTCAAGTTATGAGTTTAATTTTTGTTTTATATATATATGAAAGGCTTTCCCTCACATAGAATCCTAACTCCACCACTGCATGTTATGTAGTCACGCATTTACGTTGAATAAGACTTGTGTATTCTTTCTAAACTTTCAAGTACAATAACTTAGAGTTATATGTTCCAGTTACAAAGCTCACGAACTTTATAAGTATGTTAGATGCGTGAGATGTTAAACGTTTGAAGTGTCTTTTATTGAGTTAATTAAAAAGGTTATTTATTAATATAATTTATTACCATGGTTTGGAATTCCGTGCCAAACAAATAAAACTTCATCATTGTGCAATTAGTTTGCAACACCATTCACTCTAGACTAAACCATAAGGTCAATAAATGAGTTGACATAGCGGCCTGTGGTTATGGCAGATAGGTCTTTGGGTAGTATTCATTTTCGGAGCTCATCAAATTTTCGAAAATTCATAACACTCCTAACGTACATGGTGGACTTTTTGGTCAATGACGTTTTATTTTTAACAGACGGTATTCTTTACATTAAGGGATGGAGAGTGGGCTAAAACCTCATAATAAACTAGCAATAATGTGATTCAAATTCGCATTTGGCAAAAATCGAACCTAAAACCTTTTACTTACAAGTGAAGAGAAATACCACTAGATCACAATATTAAATGGCGAATTTAAGAAATTGGATTTGCACAAAAAATCAAAGAAAAAAAAAATCAACTTATAGGGAAAGGAAAGATAGAAAATGGGAAATAAAATTTTTGAAACTTTACAATTTGCAATCAATTCTGTAACTCAATTATTGAGTTAAAAAAACAAGTGGACTGCCCAACCCATATAATGCAAGGGAGTGGACCCCCTTAATCAATTACTCATTGGCGTTCTAGTTAAAATGATATCTGGAATTATCATAACTTTCCATTTTAATCTTTAACAATGAAAGACCATAGAGAGAATCTTAAGCTTTTTCACTATAAATCATTTTGGTTATTTATTGAAAAATTTATCAATATCGTTAAGTAGAGTGGTTAGTTTGACAAAAATAGTCTTGAAAATGTGGTCACGTGATTGTTCAGTGACAATTTAACAAGAATATTGATAAATTTTCATAAAAACACTAAAATAATTTACAACGAAAATACACATAAACCACTTATATTGATTTCTATTGTCAGATACTAAAATAAAGAATTACACCAATATCAGAACTCCTTTTTAACTAAAAAGCAATAAGCCATAATGTACAAATCATCGAAGATCAACTAGTTGTTCAAAGTAATTATACACGGATTAGTGGCTTCAGTAGTAATAAAAATGGAAGTTAAACCTAGGGATGGCAATTTAACCTGTT